CTGTTCTCAGTTCTTACCATACATATTACTGCCTCCTATGCTCCGTGTCTCTGTCACGCAGATCCCAATCTCCATCTCCCCCATCAGCCTCCATTCCCTGCTCCCTCCGCCCCCACTCAGGTTTAGCTCTTGTCCCCTCCTTAGTTGAATCACTTAGCTTTTTGTTAAATACTGGCCAGCAGGGGGCATTGTCTTTGTGGATACTGCAAATAACTGTGAAAAAAAATAAACTACCTGTAAGTCAAGTATTTTGTTTTAACTGTAGTGTACAAAACAACAATAGTTCTGTTTCTGCAATGTGAAATTGCTATTAAATTGGACTTATTAATGCAGGTAGATCATTAGTGGAATCTTCAGTTATTTGAGTGCATGATTACCTTAATATTTTTCAGTAATCTTAAGTGTTTGACTTTATACATTTGTGTATTAATGCATGTCAGTATATGTGTAAATCAGAGTTTTTAACAAATATCAACTGACATAACCTGTTTCATTGTTCCATAAACTTTCAACAGTAAGTTAACATGAGCTCAATTAGTCAACTACATTGTGGTTTCAAGTAATGCAAAGATGGCTACATTTGCCTAATTGAATTCTTCGCTTGCTGTTACAGATCCCTCGTGGGCATGATTCAGATTTAGTTCATCTGTAATTTTTTTCCTCGCCCTAACTTCACCTTTGGCACTTGGGTGGTGTACGTATAGTCTTTACTGTATGCTTTTAAAAATAGCTCTCCATAGTAGAAATTCTTAATAGAGGGAAACCACATCTTCAGAGCTGATGTGAAGCAACAAGAGAAGCAAAATTACAAATAAATACTGTACCCAACAAACAGGAAAATAAATGTTGTGCTTTGTAGACTAATAGTTGGAAAGGCAAATGTATATTTGGCGGGCAGGGAAGGCGGCGGGGGAGTGGGAGCATAGTGTGGTTGTGGAACAACTGAATGAGATTTCTGGAAAGCTAAATAATATTGGTAAATATTAAATTAATATTAGCTATTCCATCTTGTACAGCATCTTTTTTAACTCAGTCTGAGGCTGTGTGTAAAATACTTGTCTCCTTAGCCATTTACAGTGTTAAAAAAAAGATAATATATAGTAATATAAAAATCTTAGGTGAGCTAATGTTTTGGTAGTCATTGAAAAATGTACTTACTTTGGTGTAGCAATAGTTCCAGATTTTTCATAATGCAATATTTAGAATGCAACTTTAATTGTTGTAATGCAGTCCTTGTTATCTAAAGGAGTACATTTTTGAACAACACAGATAATTTTGTCTTAGCTACAATTTTCTTAGATGTCATTGCATGATTGATACATGGAGTACTTTGGCTGGTATGATGCTTACATTGAAACTGACAGGTGCCACACTGTTTATTTAGGACAACCTCAGCCTTGTCCTATTGTCCTAGTTAGTTTCATAATGTTTGCCTCATGTTATGTTCAACTACTGCATTTCCTTCTCTAGAGCCTTGTGTTACACCAATATTACTATCTGTGCTGCCTCAACTACAAATTGGATGAACAGCCAGTGACACTTTTTCAATATTATTACATTAAACCAAGTGGATTTTGATTGATAACCTAATATTCAACTAATGCAAAACATCAATCATGGCAAGTATATTAATTATTTAATATTGCAGTCTAATTCAGAAATCGATGTGCTGCATGAGGGGAAGAGAAACTCACTGTTCCCAGAAGACTGAAGACAGAACGATTTGGGGGGAAAAAACAACCCTCCCCCTCCCACAAAACCCTGCTATACTCTTGTGTGTTAGCTCGATACAAATCTTTATTCATTTGCCAATAATCTCTTCCCATTTTCCACTTCAGGACCATTTTATCAGTTTTGAGACCTATAATTGAATTAAGTCTGCTTTCAGCACAGGGCAAACGGAGTTGCACAAATATTGATGAAGTCATGACAGGGACAGCACAGGAGACAGACCACTAAAGAGGATAGGTTTTATACCGTTAGCTGGAAGCTTCCTACATGAGTGTCTTGGATCTCAGTAAATAGAGTTCATTAAGATCTTTTGCATCACAGAAAAAATATATAGGACCTCATTTCTTTCTAAATAATATATGATTGTGTATAGGAAGTTTTAATTATAAAAATAGTGTAAGAGAAGTCCAACCTTTTCCTATGACTTCATTTAAGATGAATTTGAAGTGAAAGTGTTGTCAATTATAAAATAATACTTATTTCATATAGAAGAGCGTAACATTATTAACACCAAATAATTTTCAAAAATGAATACAAAATCAGCTTTGTATATAACATTTGTATTTTGAGAGAGACTATTATAATGTCAAATGCTAGTAACCAGATAATGAAAAAATGTTGTAAATAAAAGGAGATTGCATACTTATATGAATATTCAAAAATGACATTAGGTGGAATGTATTTAAAAATCACATTTCCTTTGATATTTTTCTATTTTTAACTGTTTGATGTCTCTCACTGTTTGCCATCTCAGAAGAGTGTGGATTTTTTTTTCTGTTTTGCCATTGGTGTTTTATGAGTTTGAGTAATAGTCGAAAAATAATATTCTGAACAAAGGTAAACAATGTTGCATGGCCCAGGAATTAAGTATTTGGAATGTCATGTTTTCCTGTTTTGCATGATTGTGGCATCAACAGAAAGGGAAGGTTAAGTTTAGAAACCTATTTAATGTGGAATCTATGAAAGCAGAGGCTGTCTCTCATGACTGTTTGTTTTTTGGAAGTGCCAGAGAGAAGGCATCTTATCGTGCTCACTTTACTACGCTGTGCAAATTGTTTATCCTTGTCCAGCTTGGCAAACAAGCATTATATCTATGCACAGCAGAATGCATTATGGATTAAATTTTCACTCTAAATTTTCCTTGCTGTGGTGTCCTCAGTTTCTCATTGGTCCCTTTTTGCAAGCTTCCAATTTTTGAAGTTTTGTTTTTGTTTGTTTTTCTTATCTGTTCATTAGGGTTTTGCAACTGGTGTGAACAGAAATATGTAAAGTTCTAGCATCCCTGCCATTGTCTAGTTTAATTAATGTACAAATAATTCATTAACTCTCTTTTTATGAAGAATCAGAATGTTTGTTTACAAAGTTCTGGTAGAGAGAGGCAGGCATTCCACGTTGATTTTAATGTGATAGTACTAAATGTTTTGTTTTTTCAATTTTTCTGTGTAATAGCAGTGCTTTATGTATAAAACAGTGGTTCTCAAACTTTTTGTATTGACCATCCCCTTTACACAGTGGCTACGTCTACACTGGCCCCTTTTCCGAAAGGGGCATGTTAATTTCACAGATCGTAATAGGGAAATCCGCGGGGGATTTAAATATCCCCCGTGGCATTTAAATAAAAATGTCCGCTGCTTTTTTCCGGCTTTTAGAAAAGCCGGAAAAGAGCGTCTACACTGGCCCCGATCCTCCGGAAAAAAAGCCCTTTTCCGGAGGATCTTATTCCGCTTTTTCCGGAGGATCGGGGCCAGTGTAGACGCTCTTTTCCGGCTTTTCTAAAAGCCGGAAAAAAGCAGCGGACATTTTTATTTAAATGCCACGGGGGATATTTAAATCCCCCGCGGATTTCCCTATTACGATCTGTGAAATTAACATGCCCCTTTCGGAAAAGGGGCCAGTGTAGACGTAGCCACTGTGTAAAGGGGATGGTCAATACAAAAAGTTTGAGAGTACATTTCTCAAGTTTAAAATGTGTTTTTTATATTTAATATTTTAAATATTAAAATATTAATATTATTGCTAAATTCATAATTATTGTTTAAGATGACTTCACCTTTTCTCACTGCTTTTCAGAGAAGAGTAAAAAACATTATAAGCAGAATGTTTTTCTTTTAAGTAGCTACAGTTTAATACTGGGTCTGTGATGAAACTTTGTCAGTATTAGGTGGACCTGCGTTCAGAGTTGGCTGGCTAATGACCCTCTGAATTAGTAGGACCTGAGTGCTGGGGTTAGAACAATTAAGACAAGTAAAATTTTGGAGTTTAAGTACATAGATAGTTTTGGCTTTTATCCCCCGTGGCAGAGTCCCTGCTCAGGCCCTTTGGTCTGGGACGCCTTCCGGTCCATGAGTCAGCCAGAGATGCTTCTGCAGTCAGCCTTGCTTTTATTGTTAGTTCCCACCACCTTCTATATACAAAGATTACAGTCAATTCAGCCAGCTCCTCTGTCTGCCTGGGAACGCACTCACACTCAGCTTCAGCCACACACAGGCTCCTTCCTCTTCCTTTTCCCCTCCTGGCTTCCTTCGTCTGCCTTATATAGCCCTCTCCCGGTAAGGCCCACAGTGGGTTCTAATAGCCCTTCAGGCCTGGGCTTGCTCAGTAGGGTTGCCAGCTGTCCGGTGTTGACTCGGAAAGTCTGGTATTTTCGCCTCCTTTACGGTAAAAAAATTTAGAAAATACCGGTCACCTAAAATATCTGCTATTTTCTGATTACTTTCCCCCTCCCCTGGCCAGGAGGCGAAAATCCCAGGTGCTTACTGGGTTCTGCAGGGGAGCTGTCCAGCCCAGAGCAGGGAGACAAGATGGCGAGCAGCGCCGGCAGCCTGTTAGGGTCAAAAAGACTCAAAAGTATTTCTTAAAGGGGCCATGCTTTTTTTTTTTTATTTTAATTTTTTTTTTTTTTTTTTGCTTAACAACTCTCGGGGTCCTTCTCCCCCACCCCAACAACTTTGGTCCCCCCCTTTTTTTTCTCAACAGAATTTTTTCACCTGTGTTTTTTTGGGGGGGGTGTGGGGGGAGGTTGTTTGGTATTTTTAGTTAAACCATCTGGCGACCGTATTGCTCAGCTGTTTCCCCTCACCTTCTTTAGCCAGGCTATAGTGGCAGAGCTCTGGCCCCCTTATATTTTTATAGTTAAGATGTAAAAGTTAAGACCATTAGAAAGTTAACCAAGAATTTGCATGACTTTCTTTTGGCGTTTTTGGGTTAAACAGAAATCATTATAGACAAGAGTTTAGCAACTATTTACAACTTCTGTTCTTGTGTTACAGGGAATCTGGAAACATCAAAGCTGGATTAGAACATCTGGTAAGTTCTAATTTTCTCTTGAACATTTGCATCATCTTTGATATCTGCATTCCAAATGAACACTTTTGAATGAGCTGTGAATACCTTGAATTGAGAAAGTCAACCATTTCCCAGAGGGTCAGCTTACTGTTATGTGAAGGCACTTACATTTTCATTTATCTTATCATTTCAAGGGAATTTTAATTTTTTTTAAATTACTTTTTTTCATGTAGAGATGAAATAAAATGGACTACAATCCTTGGATTGATGATTGCCTTAATTATAAACAAAAATTGTTTGGTGTTGGTTTTTTTTGGCATATCCTGATCTAAAAACAACAAACTTGTGTTTTTTTAAATCAAATATTGCATGCATAAATATGATATGTTTTAGTAATTTGAAGTATTTGAAAGAAGAGCACAGCTTTGGGTTTTTTTTTCCTGCTGGCTTTTCCTTATGAATAATGTATTGGTTTAAATTCCATTCAGTGCTACAATATAAAATAATAGATATGCAAAATATTTTTTGGTTTAAGTAAACATATTCAAACCACAAGTGAAAGGAAGACATACTTAGCAGTTGATCAAACTAATCAGTTGATCAAAACTGAAAATGTGGTATTATTACAAGTGCAAAATTCATCAAGATTAGTATATTAATGTCAGTGATCATCAGAAGACTAAGCATTTACTCTAAATGGATCATTTTAAGTCATGGGCTAGGTGATGGCTACATCCAAATGTTCAATGGTACACACTCTTTTCTAAATATAGTGTGAGAACTTTTGAGATTGAAGTCTTCATTTATGTATACAGAAATTGATTTATACTGTTGTACATGACACACACAAGATGTGATTATCACTGCCCAGTTCAAGTAATTTTTAGCACTTGCTAATCATTGCCACATATATTCTAACATTCTTGAAAGTAGCTATCCATTTAGGAAAGTATGAGTTTTGTAGAAGCTTATGTACCAAGCTCTTCCTATGTCTTTCCAGGAGAACAGAGGACATAGACTATGTATGGCTCAGTTGCCAACTTTCTTTCCTTTTAGTGGAATGACAAGAGCTCCATCTCTACTTGTATTCTGAATCTACGCATAACTGAACCAGTTGGTTATGTCTAAATATTACAGTAGTTGAGACATGTATCTTGCATGCTAGTTTGAACCTCTTATATTTTAAAAATGCTTCACTCCTTTAATGTTCTCAAGTTGCTGTAATCTAGTGGGTTCAGAGACCACTTCTAATGCATTATAAAGATGCTGTTGTCCTGACAGATGATTGTCTGGTACTTTTTTCTAAATTGGGGGAAGAATATGATAGCTGAAGATGCTGGTATAATTTATAATGTCACCTCAAACTGTAAGGGTAAGCAGGGAGAGGCTAAATGGTTTTCAAGGAGCCTCTGAAACTAGCACTGTACTACAACTTTCTAAACTTCTGTATCCTTTTCAGGAGATGGATTTGCCTTGTGTAGCCCAAGTTTCATCTCATTTAACAACTTGATTACAAACTAAATATAAAATACAAAAATGCCATAACATACTATTACTGAAAAATGACTTATTTTCTCATTTTTACCATATAATTATAGAGTAAATCAATTGGAATATAAATATTATACTTACATTACAGTGTATAGTATATAGAGCTGTATAAACAAGTCATTATGTCTCTGAAATATTAGTTTGTGTTGACTTCTCTAGTTTTTATATACCGTATATACTCGAGTATAAGTCGACCCGAATATAAGCCGAGGCACCTAATTTTACCGCAAAAAACTGGGAAAAAGTATTGACTCGAGTATAAGCCTAGGGTAGGAAATGAGGCAGCTACTGGTAAATGTAAAAAATGAAGATAGATACCAATAAAATTACATGAATATTTATTTCAAAGAAAAACAATAACCTAGCTCTGTAATTGGAAAAGGGGGTCAACAAAAACAATATGGTATCAAAAATACCGTAACTTTAAAAGTACAACAACCTTAGCTCAATCAGCAACCAAGCTAACACACAAGAGCTAAAATCCTTCAAAACTGGAGTTCTCCTCCTCATCATCTGTATGTCCAAACAGAGCTTCAGCTGGTGTGAGGTTATCAGCATAGACATTGTCATCATCACTGACAAACTATTATGGAGTAGTTTTTTAAGAAAGCATATTGGAATGTATTTAACTCACTTAGAAGCAGTCCCAGCTCTACGAACATCAAAATGCAGTATGTAGAAAAAGTTGAAAGAAAAATATAGTAAATCTGCCCTCTTCCACAACAAGTAAAAATAGCACCTAATGTAGCATCATTGCCAATCTACAGCAGCTATTCAAGTACATGAAAGTTTAAGCAAAATACTTCCAACTTAATCTTAGAAATGTTTTATACCCTTTTAATATATCATTTTTTAAAAAGTTCCTATAAAGCTACATGTGGCATTTCATTTCTTTTCACAAGTTTTAGGAACTGAACTGAGCACTTTTAATATGCTCTGGATTATAAATTCTCTTTAAAAGTTTATTGTGAAATACTGGCAAAACCAATTGTCATTCAACTGGTATATAAACGAGACCCAAGAGTATAATGAATTTCTATCTACAACATTTAGTCAAATCCACCAGGGAAGGGCAGTAATTTCTTTTAAAGTAGAACCCTTTAATTGTTCCTACGTACCTTCCAATATTCAGTTGTATTAAATACATTTCTTCAGACAATTGTCCTAGTATTCAGTCTTTCTTGTGTTTAGTGCACTAACAATCTGGCGTAAGTTACTGTACTAATATGAAACTATTCAGCAGTTTGACAGATTAAATATTTTTAATAAAACAGTACAGGCAGTCCCCGGGTTACATACAAGATAGGGACTGTACTAGACCTGGCCGGCGGCAGAGACGCGCTGAGCCCGCCCGCGAGTAGGAGGCTGACTCGAGTATAAGCCGAGGGGGGCATTTTCCAGCACAAAAACTGTGCTGAAAAACTCGGCTTATACTCGAGTATATACGGTAGCTTGTTGTAAAGGATAATCACTGGAAAGATAATCTCTGGAAGCTCTAATCACCAAAAAAATCATTGGTATAAATTCTCACCATACCTTTGAAATAAAAACCTGTTTTCATATCATAAATTTATTTTTTGTGCTTCTGAAAAGAAATTGACAGAAGCCTCCATACTTGATTAGGAACTCTGCTAATTATTTTGGGAAAACAGCTATTGTACATGTGTGTGCAAATATAGAAACTGATTTTGCAAGATATATAGAGATTTGGGTTATATATAGAGTAAGGATGTTAAGAAGCGGGTAATTGACTGTGTAGTTGATACAATTTGTATTGACTTCATGATTAGTCAATAAGGGGAGGCGCTCCGTCCCGGCTCACACTGGATCCAGGAGTTATGCCCGCTACAGCTCTGCAGTTTAAATGTAGTAGGAACTAAGAACTCAGACTCTGCCTCTCCTCCCTTCCTCTCTCGCTTCCCTCCTTCCCCATGTACTGCGGAGATGGTGCTTGGGGGAACCAGCTTTTAAACTGGCTCCACCTCTCTGTCTCTGCTAAAGCGGGTGCAAAGTGAATAGTTGAGTAGTCACTTGACTGGTTGATTACATCCCTAGCATAGAGAGCAAAATTCACACTGAAAAGGGCTTTACATCATAAAAATACTGTCAGGAAACTTCATGCAAACCAATTTACTTGACCTCCAACAGATTGTAGGCACATTTTTAAGAAAAAAAAGTCATTTGATTATAGCAAGGGCCCTACCAAATTCACAATCCATTTTATTCAGTTTCATTATTTAAAAACATATTAAATAAATAACAGGAATTAAAAAAATTATAAATTTCATGATTTCAGCTATTTAAATGTGAAATTTCATGGAGTTATAATTTAGGGATCCTGACCCAAAAAGGAGTTGTGTGGTGGTTGCAGAGTTATTGTAGTGGGTGTTGCAGAACTGCTATCTTTACTGCTGTGATGCTGCTGGTGGTAGCAGTGTTGTGCTGCCTTCCAAACTAGGCAGCTGGAGAATAGCCATCACTGTCTCACCACTCATCTCTGAAATAAACGGTACAAATTTAAGGATGGCATGGTATGGTATTGCCATTCTTATTTCTGTGTTACTACTGTCAGGGTGCTGCCTTCTGAGCTGAGCTCCTGGTCGACAGCCATTTCACTCTAGCCCCCTAGCTCTGAAGGTAGCACAGAAATGAGGGTGGCAGCACCACAACACCCTCTAAAATAACCTTGTGCTACCCTCCATCTCCTTCAATTTCTTCTTGGGTCAGGACCCCCAATTCAAGAAACACACCAGTCTTCCCCATGAAATCTATAGCGCAGGGTTTCCCAACTTGTGGGTTGGGACCCAAATATGGGTCACCATTACATTTCTAAAGAGTTGCCACGTGTCTCCCCAGGTGGCTCTGCTCCCTCTCCTCCTCCCCAGTTTTGAATTGCTTTGGGTCACCAAGTCTTCCTGAATTGCCAAAATGGGTCCCCATCTGGAAAAGGTTGGGAACTGCTGCTATAGAGGAAGCACACACAAGACTAAATTTCATGGTCCATGATGCATTTTTCATGGCTCTGAATTTGGTAGGGTCCTTATTATAGCAAACTCACCCTTTTTTAATTCCAAATTTAACTTCCAGAGACCTCTATGGGAATCACTGCCCATATTTTTTAAGAAAACACCTGACACTGAAAAGAGAAGAAAGTATTTTGCATTGATTAGATAGATACTGTTTATCCCTTGACTTTCACAAATGAAATGACACCATGATAGTGTAATCTTCACTCTTCCTTTAAATGTGCATTTCTTTAAACCATATGCTTTTCACCCCCTTATTCATATGGTTGCAACCTATTTAGGTGTTTCCATGTATTTCTGTGGTGAGTACCTTGCTGTTATCTAACCTTTAGCTGTGCAGCTGACTGAATTATGTAAATTTGTTTCCGAGAAATATGTAAAAATATTATAGGTAATTATTTGAAAATATTTTCTAATTTAAAACGAGCAGTTATGAATTGAAGA